GGCAGTCTCTAAACCCACTCTCCTCCTCCCTCCCGGATCCTCTCGGTGCCCGGCCCAGGTTTTAAGGAGACAGCCTTCCTGTACGCGGTTTCCTCGGCCGCCCTCACCCACACTTTGGCCCGGGCCTGCAGTGCCGGTCGCATGGAGCGCTGCACCTGTGACGACTCTCCCGGCCTGGAGAGTCGGCAGGCCTGGCAGTGGGGCGTGTGTGGCGACAACCTTAAGTACAGCACCAAGTTCCTGAGCAACTTCCTGGGGCCCAAGAGAGGAAGCAAAGACCTCCGGGCACGGGCGGACGCCCACAACACACACGTGGGCATCAAGGTGAGCATGTTCCCGGACACTCCAAAGCCCTTCCCCGGCAGGATGCGGGGCCGGGGACCAAGGTCTGTAGGAGGCCAGCACGTGCCCTGCCCCCAGTATACACACCTCATTCCTTGGGCACCTACTCTGGACAATCACCAGGCAGCAGGAAGCAGGGAAGGGCCCTGAGGGTCATTGGTAGCTGGGCAGCAGGTGGGAATCAGGCGTGGGGCCGGGCCATGGTGAGGCAGACGTGTTTGGAGAGGGGTCTCCATTTCAAGCCCTGGCCTTCCTGGAGGTCCTGGAAGCCAACATAGTTTGAAATCTTTGATCTGGTGCAAACCCCTCTCTTTCAGTTTTACCAATGGGAAGCGAAGGAGGCCCAGAGGAGGGAAGGGACTTAGCTGAGGTCATATAGACTGTGGGAGGGCAAGAAGGTAAAAAGTATCTAGGTCTATTGGGATGAGAGGGCTGGGAGAGGCCTGGGCTTCAATTCTTAGGAGACTGAGATCTGTCTTCTGCACCCTCATCCCTGAGCTGGCGTAAACCAGGGCGACTGCGTTCAGTTGTGCAAGCTGTCCGCTCCACAGGACTCGGCCGAGGGGAGAAGCTGGGGCTGAGATCCGGCCCACACTCATCTCACAATGCCTGCATGTTGGCACAGGACCGCCTCTGCCCAGTGGAAGGGGAGATTTGGGCTAATTGGCACCAAGGGGCCACATGGGCCACCTCGAGTCCTATCTATCCCCATCATGTGGCCCTCCGCCTGCCTCTTTCCCATCCTCCTGCCACACCCCTGCCAGCATCAGTGACCTGGGGGCAAGCTTGGAGCGTGGGCCCCAGGCCTCTGACCATGCCTCCCTTCTGCCTCTCCTCGCAGGCCGTGAAGAGTGGCCTCAGGACCACGTGTAAGTGCCATGGCGTGTCGGGCTCCTGTGCTGTGCGCACCTGCTGGAAACAGCTCTCCCCATTCCGAGAGACGGGCCAGGCCCTGAAGCTGCGCTACGACTCAGCCGTCAAGGTGTCCAGTGCCACGAACGAGGCATTGGGGCGCCTAGAGCTGTGGGCACCCGCCAGGCCAGGCAGCCCCTCCAAGGGCCTGGCCCCCCGGTCAGGGGACCTGGTCTACATGGAGGACTCACCCAGCTTCTGCCGGCCCAGCAAGTACTCCCCTGGCACGGCGGGCAGGGTGTGCTCGCGGGAGGCCAGCTGCAGCAGCCTGTGCTGCGGGCGGGGCTATGACACCCAGAGCCGCCTGGTGGCCTTCTCCTGCCACTGCCAGGTGCAGTGGTGCTGCTATGTGGAGTGCCAGCAGTGCGTGCAGGAGGAGCTCGTGTACACCTGTAAGCACTAGGTCTGCTGCCCAGTGTGCCAGCTGGACCCTGCCAGGACCTCCCCTGGAGCCCAGCCACCTCGAGGCCACCCAGCTGTCCAGCCAGCCCCCC